TAAAATAAAAAATAGAGATTCCTACTTTTTATTTTGTTTATTATTCCATTAACAAAAAGAAATAGAACAAAATTTTATACAAAGTAACTTATTTCTTTACAATAAAATTTAATGATTAGAGAATTTATTGATTATTTAAGGAATTTATGGAAAATATACAATAGAAATGCGAGGAATATATTCTTAAAAAATATATTTATATATTTATATTGTTATATTTTTAAACATAGCTTGTTATAATACTTATTAATATGTTTTACATAACTTTATTCTATATTCTATACTTTATATGTATATATAGACCTATAAATATATAAATAAATTCTTTTAATAACAATTTCTAATAGAGAAAACATATATAATACTTATTTATATATGTATTTATAAGTTTATATAATTTTGTATGACAAATAGATCATGATATGTAAAAAATATTACAAAAAGCTATGTTGAAAAAAATATATAGAGAATGTATTCTCCCTATTTTTATTTCTATTTTTTAATTTTTTAAATAAATAAGTTTCCTAACCGATAAATCTCTAATTAAAAAGAATCAGTTTTTTTATAAAATTTTCTTTTTTGATTAATAATCAATAAAACGCAAACTAAAAGTAGACCAATTTTTAGAGATTGATTTCATCTTTTTAAAATAAATTCGGACTGTAGACAGAAATAACGTAGTATGTCCTTATAACTACATTGCAGCATCATTGCTACGTTACAATTTTGCAACAATGTTGCTGTGAAATTTGTGTTATACAGGATTAAAACATTTTTCATCTATAACTTCATGTAAACTTCCATAATTTTAAAATTTTTGGATTAGAGACCTTCTCTTTACCAATTATGTTCAATTTTTTGTATTTATTCAACATTTTATTTCTATGTATAAAATTTTTTTATATATTTGATTTTTACATAATTTTAATATTATTTATTACTCCTTTTTATATTTGTGTACAAACTTTCATCTCAAAAAATTCATTTTTGTGTATGTATATATTAATTATTATGTGATTTTTTAGTAAATAACTGTATGTATTTCACGAAATAGATATTTAAGAAAACGAAGCAATATTGCTCGATTATACAAAGTAACTAATTCAAATTAATATTTTCATAATCAAAAAATCATTCGAATATTGAATTCGATTGTTTCGTATAACAAATATATATACGTATATAATGGGCGTTATTGGACAGAAAATTAAAATTAATAAAATACGCGAACAAGAAATTTTTGAATTAAAATATAAAAGAATTGTAATTAAAATATATAAATGAACATTGTGAGTCATGAAAAAATCTCTCTCTCTCTCTCTCTCTCTCTCTCCTTAATTACAATATTATCATCGCATAAACTAAGTTACGAATAATTCATTCGAAAACAGTTTTAAATCACGTAACTTTTTATCTAGAATGGAAAAAATTACATTTTCTATTTTCTTTAATAGTAAAAATTTTCACTTTTCACATTCACTTTTCACTTTTCACATTCCTAGAGAAAAAGTTACACAATCGATATCCTAAATATAAATCGGAACACAACTTCTGCTGAATACATTCCATATATTCTTGCCTATATTCTATTCTATCCTTCTGATTAATGATACCTTGTAGCCTGGAATTGTGTAAACAAAATGAAAATTACAACAAAAATAAAGAAGTTTTCGGTAAACCAGATTTCGATATATAGTCACAGATATTCGAGGGAATTTTCTGACTTTTTTCCTTACCTAGGTCAATATCCCCTTACCCAGGTCAATAATCTCCGGACCTAGATCAACCTTCTCCCTTCTCCCTTCTCCCTTCATCTCCCTCATATCCTAGGTCAATGACACCATTATCTTTGCCATGCATTTTTGACTGTTGAAGAGAATCCAAATATATGCAGAAATGTACAAATATCTTATATTATAATATTATGTCTTGTTCTATTTAATTTGCGCTTCTCTTATCGTCCCTGTTTCACAATCCGTTCCTTTATTTTAAGATTTGGTTTTATTTCTTTGTGCGGCGTCATCGCTCCGTAGGGTGACGTTTATTAATCAAGTCCTTTGTGAGTGTAGAAAGGTGTAGTTCTTCGCGCCATTTCTAGGCTTCACGTATCTTTCCGAACGAGTGAGAGAAATGTACACTTGATTATCTCATTCGTTTCTGCACTCGCCGTTGTACGTCCTTAAAAGGAATATCTACAAACCCAGTGAAGTGCCATCAAGATCATTCATTAGATGTGGTAAATTCATTATTTTCACACATAATGCATGATAGGCAGTCTCAATTACTTATTTTAGAAAACTTATAATTTCACGTGGACTCGATGTCTGTCATGGCAAATAGGTTAGTTAGAGTCAAGTCGATTGTATTTAATGTTCACTGAACAGGCCATCGAATTAGGAATTGGTTCTTTTATATTAAATTGGTTTTTTTTATATTAAAAAAGAGAGAAGCGAGTGAAATAAATGCTTTCGAATACTTGTTCTTGTTTATTAATTAACTGTCGACGTTATCCATGTGCCAAACATGGTATGTTATTAACAATAACAAGATTCCAAGGGAGACAAAAGACGCGATGTTTGTAAGCAATTTGTCGTGACAGCGAACAAGAATAAGTTCAAATAAAAGACATACGTTAAATAAATGGTTACAAATTAAAAAGTGG